GATTAAACCAGCACTTATTAATACTATTACTTAGTTGTATTGTATACCCCGTTTATATAGGCCCATTTTTGAATCTTGTTTTATGTAGGCTATGTCATACTGTGGGACTGCGGGAAACGGTATCTCGAGATTTCTGTAGGCCTATAACACATGTAGACATTTGGACAATAAAGCTGACTTTGACTTTTGACTTTGACTTTATGACACAAAGGTTGCATAGTACTTGAAAAATAAATGAATATAAGCTCCCGACTTCATTGAGTGTTTTTAAAGCTTGTTTTGTCTAAAAGTTACATAGCCTATTGCAATATTTTTAACTTGAAGACAAAGGTAAAGGTTAAATATCAACACAGAAATGTATAAACCAAATACAGGGATCTGAACAAATGTGCACATTTAGCTGTACATTTTTAGTGAAGATACTGTTGTGTTGCAGCTATTATACATCCATGTGTTGCAGTTGTTGTTTTCATTTTACATTGCAGATCAAGTGTCCTTACTTCCGGTGAAATGTCTACATCCTATCTCCAGCTTGACTCCGCTCTCACTATGGAGGTCCCGTTCACTTTTCATTGATTTTCAGCGGGGTGACTTCCGCCATGATGGATCGTCATATTAACCAATAGGAATAGAGGATGCGTGAACTAGAGCACAAGACGACCAATCAAAGAGCAGCAAGGGCGTGTCCTTGTCATAACAAAGGACGTGTTAGTATTTTTGACAGAATCAACCTGCTTTAGTGCTCAAGATGTGCTGTTTGCTCTACCATATAATGTACTTGTTATTGTTCTTATCATGATTTTATGAGGTTTTATAAAGGCTTGTTATAAAACAATATGTAAAATCAGTGGTTGTCTTTGTTTATAAAAATACAGTTTTTCATTGAAAAAGTAGGTTTGGCTACTCATTGGAAAGTCTTAGACACATGCACACATGGGATGTTTTCTTGTCCGTAATGAAATGGCTGTAAAACATGTTGGCTCAGTGACAGGGAACAATATGGTTAGCAGCTTCCTGTGTGAACTGCAGCTGGCCTCCTTAAAGGAAACAACACTGTCACACCCTGACAGATCAGAGGTTTTATCTGTCAAGCCAAGGGGATGTGTGTGTGTGTGTGTGTGTGTGTGTGTGTGTGTGTGTGTGTGTGTGTGTGTGTGTGTGTGTGTGTGCGTGTGTGTATGGCTTTTTTTTTAGCAACACTTAACATGACTGTAACGTGTGGTCTATTCAGTCTGGTATGGACATCTGTAATACAGAATATAAACTCTCAGACAGCTGTTTTACAACATATCTAGAGCTTTGTCATTTTGTCATAACTGAAAAAGGTAGCAGACTCAAACAAATGGGCGTTAATGATACTTCATAGTGTTTTTGTTTTTTTAAAGTGCAAAAGTTATGTTTGCTTGTTATGTTTAAATCCTAACTGTGTTAACTTTCAAGTTGGACAATGTTAACAACAATTCTTCATCCAACTGAATAGTATTACTTCAATATCCTTTTAGCCAAATCAGCTGCAATTAGACATATGGTTTTATTGGAAACAGAAATGTAACTCATGGCTTCAAATACAACTGCTATATATCCGCTCAAATATTTTATTTGATGTCTGTAACAAGAGGATGTAGAGCAATACATAGATCTTGACCACTTGTTTCATCAGACACGAATACATCAGAATAAGGAAGTATAATATTATCAAAATGCTGCTTCACTGTGGCGGAAACAACAATACAGACCCTTCTGTGTTCTATGCTTTTAGATGATGCCTTTAGTGATGCCTACACTAAGCAGATAGGATCTAAGAGTTTTGCTCAAGGACACTTCGGCAGGGCTCATGGAAGCTGGCGGACACGCTGTCTGCTTCTCTGTAAGTCTCTGTGAATCAGAAACCCTTCGGCAGGTGTTTTCCACACCTGACACTGTCTCGCTTCTGTCTCTTTACTTTTCCACTGCACAGTCCTTATCAGCTGGGTTGCATAATATAAATTCATAGATTCTGGGAAGGGGATAGATGTCGGATAAGTGAGTAATGTCAAATAACTTTTAACATCTGAAAGTGTGCGATAATTATTTTGTGATACAGACATAAGAAGGTATTCATAGAAGAAATTAAATGTATTTCAGTGTCTTTTAAAAGTGTTATCTGGTGTCCATTGGTGAATGTCAAAACATTGAGGCTTACTTTACCGACACAAATGTTACTTTTTAAGCAGTAGAAGGCAAAATCTGGCATGTTTTTATCAGTTATCGTTACTTTGATGAAGCTTTTCTGTTTATTCATCACATTTTTGGTTGAATATCTCATTTTTTTAAGTGAAACCATGCATTCGAATGCACCAGATGTGAATTCTAGCACTCTGACATCAAGTTGTCTCATATCTGAACGTGTTTTATTGCTAAAACGTGCAGTACACAGGACATGTAGCCCAACAGCTGGTTTAAATTCTGCTCTTTAGAAACTGCTTGTTGATTTCAGTGTTGCGTCCACAGTCACAAAGAGGAAGCTGAAACACACAGCTGCTGCTTCCTTTTGAGCAATGAGACTGCATCTTCGGCTGAAAACTGAATTTAGACAAGCATAGACGACGACTCTTTCATCGTATTGTTTCCATGGGTGTGTCTAAGAAACTGTGGTTATTCACAGAATAACAACAGATAAGAGTTACAAGCTTAGCTTTGAGATAAGCCATATTGTCAAGGTCAGGTTGTTCCAAAAAAACACACTACAAATAATCCTTAAACCATGAACTATATTTAGCTAAATGATCTAGACTCTCCAAAACAAGTATTTATGAAGACATTTCTATATGAACAAATTGAAAAAAATGTAATAAAGGAAACCATTACATCTTTGATAACATACAATGCAACACATAATGTTTGGTGCTATGAGATAACGTTTTATTCAAAGCAAATGTACACGATAATGATATTGTTTTATCGTGTGCTGCTACACTAAGTCGATACATTTATTTATTTATTAAAAATAATAGCAAACAACTTAAAAAAAAATAATGTGTATATTCTAGTTGAAGTTTTGAACAATGCAATACCTTGATGTGTAATTGTAAAAAAGGGGACACAACAGACAGAAGCTTCTCTTTTTCGTAGTAAACTGAACACAAGTCCAGATAAGTTACATGGTGTAACTTTTGCTCTGGTTTCATCCAGGCTGACGTGGGAAAGGCTCCAGCCGCTGCTGCCACACCTCCATCACCTTAAGCAAGGTTGTGCTTTTGGACACGTAACCCGACACATTCAGATATAAAAGCTTCAATCTGACCCCGCCAGGTTCAGTCAGTCAACATGAGGGGGCTGCTCGCACTTACAGTGCTGTTCGTGGCCGTTTTCGGCAAGGAGACTTTTGAGGGGTAAGTGTGGGTATCTCACACCCACGGTGGAAGAACTCAGATTTTATACTCAAAAAGCAAAATTAGCAACACTAGATTGTAAAAATACTATAAAAAGTAAAAGTCCTGCATTCAAAATCTTATTTTACTAAAAGTATCAGCATCAAAATATACTTAGGTACCACAAGTAAAAGTACTCGTTATGCAGAATGGCCCATTTCAGAATAATATGAAATGACCTGATTGTGATCATGTTCATCCCAGCTGGTAAAGGAAGAGCTTATTCTACTTTGTATACTGCTGCTGGATATATTAACCTCTAATAAAATGTTTAATTATTAGATGATTTGTATTTGTTTTAATCTGAATCTGTCAGAGAAATGCGGTGGATTAAAAATTACAATATTGGCTTCCAACATCTAGTGGAGTAGAAGTTTAAAGTTGCTTACAATAAAAATACTCTGTTAAATTACCTCAAAATATTACTTAATACTTGTACTAATAATGTAATCTATTACAATCCTCTCACTGAGTTGTAGGCTGTAAGAGATCTTTAGATTTGTGCAGAAATGTGAAATAATCAATATGTTCTTAAAAACAATCGCTTTTATTTAATTTTTAAAATGTCTCCAGGACCAGCGCATGCTTGGTGTGCTTTTTGAGCGTCAGATATATAACAAAAAAAAATGTCATGTAATGTAATATTGTGAAATGCGATTTCCTCGTACAGTATAATATGTGCCAACTTCTAGCTGATTGTGAAGTTTTCTTGAGTCAACGGATGTAACACATTCTGCTTCTCTTTCTGCAGGCATCAGGTTCTTCGCATGTATGCCAAGAATGCAGACCAGCTGGCTCTTATCAACGACCTGGAGGACAAGCACGAGTTTGAGGTCATTCATCATGCTCTGTTATTACTTCTAAATAAAATAGTTTGTAAATGATGAAAGTCCAAAGCTTCATCAACCCTAACCCTCATCCAATTCCAACTCCGAATTTAAGCTTCTTCCTTCGGGCCTGAAGTTAGTTAGTTGTCCCAAAGAGTAGAACGAAGTAAAAACAGTTTTATCCCAGCAGCTATTGCACAAATTAAACCAATCATAGGAGCGTCACACAAATGCCTATTTATGTATTTAATAATGAATTTTGAATGTCCATGTTTGTAAAAGTGCTTTTCTTTTTAATTGTTTTTAAATATTTTTGACGGAGCAGGGTCTACTTTTCTTAGTTCTTTTATTAGGGATGTGTCTGTTGTCTGTGTTTGTCTTTAGAGTGTGTCAGGATGGATCCCTTGTCCTTTTATTTGTAAACTAAATCTACTTACGGGTACAAATAAAGAACCTGAACCTGAACCCTGACCCTAAGATCAAATGTTGTGTGCTATATGTTTCTTTTTAGCTGGATTTCTGGAGGGGAGTGACAGATGTTAAAACCCCTGTGGATGTTAGAGTTCCCCACCACAACCTGCAGTCCGTCAAAACTCACCTGGACAGTAATGCCATCAATTACTCCATCATGATCGGAGACCTTCAGGTAAGAGGCCTGCAAAACAGCTTGACATATCAATCCAGGCTTCATCAAAAGTCAAAGTCAAAGTGAACATGAACAGAATTGAATCTACTGCATTTGGTTTTTGAGTTTTTAAGAAGTTTGAAGCTGATTTTTCGGCCAAAGTTCAGTCGGACAGAAAAATATATTATGTTAAAATGAATGTTAACATATGTTTTTCTGCAGGCGATGCTGGATGAGGAGCGGAGGGAGATGGCTTCTGCTGCTCGTGTTGCTGAGCCCAAAAATGTTGACAGCTACGACTATGCCAGGTACCACCCCATCAACGAGGTAAGTGCACCAACTCTAATGTCTAAAAAGAAAATGTAATTAGGATTGAATTTGCTGATACTCATAGCCATCCCTTTAAACTTGAAGAAGAAGCTCAGTGTGTGGTGAATGTCCCGGTCAGACCAATATTTAAGAATAGAGAAGCAATTCTGAAGTCCCCAAGAACAACACACTTCTTCCCTTGGATGGGCGTTGAGATACTATCCACATACAGAAAATATTTAACAAATGCCAACCGAAATCCAGTCATCAACCGAATACATTGGGACCAAGTTCTCATTCTGGTTATTAAAGGACCGGATGGCTTGTAGAAAGTGATAATCAGAAAAGCATTCGACTTCCAACTATATAATTAAGCTGCAACCCAAAATAACCCTAATCAATGTCAACAACTTGTCGAACCCTAAATATCATGATTGTGTATTTGTTGTAGATCTACAGTTTCCAGGACATGCTGGTGGCTGAGAATCCCAAATTGGTCAGCAAGATTGTGATCGGCAAGAGCTACGAGGGTCGTCCCCTGAATGTGCTCAAGGTAAATATAACAAACTGGATCATTTCCAGCAAAGAATACTCTTTTTCATATGCTGAACAAACACATATGATCACAACTCAAACATAACATTACTCTTAATGAAGGACAGAAGATCATTTGAGAACTTTCATTAGGAAATTAAGATTGTTTCTTTTTACTAGACATTGTGGAAACCTTCTATGTAAAGGTCCCCTATTATACTGTTTTTCATCAATATATTATAGGTCTCAGATATATACAAAACATGTCTCTGAACGTCTGAAGTGTTTGGCTCCAAATACCAAACAGATCATTGCAGCATTACCCATAATCCCCTCTGTTTCAGCCCTGTTTCCAAAGTGCTGATTCTCTGTCTGTTACTTTAGATGAAAATAAGAAGCCACTCCCCACGCCCCTCTGAGAGATATTTGGTTAAAAAGAACACAATAGCCGCTTTCACACCAAGTACTTTGCCGTACTTAGTGCCCAGCACTTAGTACCCCCATGGAACCAAGTACAGATCGCGTTCACACCGGAATAAGTTCCTGAGGGAAGATTACACAAATGAAGCCGCTGACGTCACTTCTTCTTCTTCTGCTTTGGGTTTACTGGCAGGCCGCAAACAACTTCACGGCGTATACTGCCACCCGAAGTCCCCGGCCGGAAGTCCCCGGAGTTGGGGACTGGCTTCAGTAGAAGCTGCTGGGACTCCTAGCAGCTTCTACTGAAGCCTTCAGAGTAAATCGCCAGAACGCCAACACCTCCTCATCTCCACCGCTCCACCGCTCCCATGTTTTCTTTTGTGTTGCGATAAGTTATTCTCTCTGCGTTGGTGCGCGGGGCTAATGCTAATGCTAATAATGCTAATGCCAGCAAATACAATGGCGGCTTCACAAAACTTTTCAGAGTTTTACGGGGCGTGGTTTGCAATCAGAAATTGGTACTTTTTTCTCCCCAGGAAAGTACCACCTCTCTAGTAGGCACTAAAAATGGGGGTAAAAGTTTTCGGAACTAAGTACTCTTTTTGGTGTGAACACAAAATTCCAGGCACAAACGGAACTAAACGGGAAAAGTACGGGTAAAGTACTCCGGTGTGAACGCGTCTATTGGTGCTTTAGG